GGGGGGTGTCTTCTGCCATGCGGCCGCCGTCTGAGGGGAGGGGGGTCCCGCCTGCCCCCCGCCAAATCCGGTGATCTGTGAGGAAGCGGGGCCGGCGGGCGGGGGGGGCCCCCGCCGTCTGAGGGGAGGGGGGTCCCGCCTGCCCCCCGCCAAATCCGGTGATCTGTGAGGAAGCGGGGCCGGCGGGCGGGGGAGTCCCTCAGCGGCGGGAGCCGCCGCCCCGCAGAGTCACCTTGAGGGGAGCCCTGGCCTCCCGGGGCCGGGCCCGGGGCTCCCTCCCCTTCCCCGAGCGGTGCCGGGCCCGGGCCCGGGCCCGCCGGGGGGATGGGGGGGTGGCGGCCACGGGAGGCCTCTCGGGAGGCTTTAGAGGCGGAGGACGGCGGGGGCAGCCGGAGTTGCCGCCTCAGCAGCGCAGGGGAAGAAGTTCCCGGGCGGCGGGAGCCCGGGCGGCACAACTTCCCATCCCCGGCGCTGGGGGCGGCTGCCGGGGACGCCGCCGGGCAGCGAGGGCCGGGGGTCGCTTAAATGTCGCAGTTGGCGTCTGTTTTTGGAGGGAGAGCATTCTGGGGATGTTTGGGGTTTTGTTTTTTCCTTGCTGAATCTGCTGAGATTCTTACATACTCATTTTTATTGTTATTATTACGTGTTTTATTTTAAAGCTGGTGCCGGGTGCTCATGAGGTACGTCCCTGAGAGCTGTGGCAGCCACAAGGTTGCGACGGTAAATTGCCCTCTGCGGGCAATTAAAAACCTGATAAAATCTCTAGGAAGGCCCCATTCCCTGCCCAGAGCAGAAGGGAAGGTTTAGGGGACACGCTGCATGGAATGGTGGGGCTGAACCACGGGAAAATACCATGTGTTTTGGGAGGGACGTGCCTTATTACTTAAAATAACAGCCCGCTCTGGCTTGCAGGGCCCCTGTCAGGGGCTGGATGCCTGAGCCGGGTGCGTGGGTGGCTCATACAGGGGGTTTTTTTGGACAGGAGAGTGAAATACTCATGAAATTCCCTATGTGAGATATTGGGGGGTTACACAGCAGGACCCATGCAAACGGTTGGCTGGTCATAGGCCAGGTGAGTGCTGCCTCGGGCTCTGAAATAAGATTGTGTCCTGCAAGGGCAGCGGTCGCCAAAATGGATACTTAAAATGCCTGCCCTGGTGAACTGTCAGTAATATACTTCATTTATTCTGAACTTCGTTTTACACATAATAACCTTCAGCTGCATCTCTAACCAAGAGAGTGAAGTAATTAAAAATCACATTGTCATTTTCCAAGTTGCAGCGGGGTTAAGGCTCCAGGAAGGCTATTCTTGATGCTGTTACAACGATATGCCCTGAACCTCAGCAGTGTTCGGGATAATTATATACATATGCTAATCCCTCGTCCTAATTAATATACACTTGCTAGTATTGCAGGCTGTTTTATAGAGGGAATTTGCCTGTGCAGAACAGGTTGCTGAAGTAGAGCTTTCCTTTCAGGTTCTGGAAGATCTCAAACCCCTGTGGTTTGCAGAAGGCTTGCTTCTTAGCAGTATAACGGGTCGTGCTCCTCTGGCTCTCTTGCCTTGTCCTGAAAACGGCCTTGTGTGTTTTGTTGTCATTTGGTGGTGTGGAGGTTTGGAAAGCATCCGTGTCAAAACCTCGGCTTGCCGAATTGCAAATGCAGGTTTTGCATTACAGCAGGAAAATCAAAGGTGTTAAAAAAACCTCCTTGATTTTTATTTTTTTTAATGGAATAAAGGGATTAATTGAGGTGTAGTAGTTTCATTTTTGCTCCCTCCGATGTACGAGAATGTTGTTGGGACTTAATTTCTTCCCCACGTCGTACCGCACAACAGCTCATGTGGTATTTCAAGCAACTCCTGTGAACTGTAGGTTGTTAGATTACGCTTTATGCTGTGTTTGGTGTGACTGATGTTTTTATCGAGAGGGCAAGTAAGGTGCTCCCTGTGAGTGCAATGGGTTGGATAGTTTACTGAATACAGCAAAGGACTTGCAGTTTCTCACTACAGACTTTCTATCAGGCTTTGTAGAATTCTCACCTTATTTCCTTTTCAGATTGGCGACGATGAACAAGGTTACGACCTGGACTTGTTCTGCATACCTAAACATTACGCAGATGACTTGGAAAAAGTCTATATTCCTCATGGGCTCATCATGGACAGGTTGGTTTGACTTCAGATAGTCCACTGCTCTGGCTGGTTCCATGAGCATGGTTAGACTAAACAACCAGTGATAGTTTTGCTGCCTGGTGACTGTCTAAATAGATTACATTTAATTAGATACTAAGAAGTACAAGTGCTAATTAACTCTTTCTTGTTTGGCTTCTAAGAGTTTTTACATTTGCTGTTGTGCTATTGTTTGGAAATTTGTTTTAATTCACAAGCAAAATTTTGTGGCACACAGCAATCTACCTTTTTCTTTCTAGTGTTTCTTTGATGCTTTACCTTCTTAAAGCCTAATTAGAATATACTATTTGTTGTGCCATTCA